TCTTCTGAAAGTGCTACCAGCATTCTACGTGTTTTAATTTAAAATTTCCACTCCAAAAACATCTGATATTTGTGAAGCTATTATTATTATAGAGATTGTGTTATGTTGCCCAAACCATTTCCAACTAGCCTCATTTTAATGCTACATTTCAACAGTTTTATCACATCGCTCACCTTAATGAGATCACTACGCACTATCATTTAAAACTATTGAGATCTACTTCAAACAACAATTTTTATGTTTTGTGTGAATTTAAAAGAGCACTACAGACATGTATCGATTGTCTAGCACAGAGGTAGCCATTGTCTAGCACAGGAAGCCCAAAATTTTAACACACAAGAAAACACAAAAGAATGGGCCCAGAAGATTCATTGACTACGGCATCGAGACAGGGACATGCACTGGGGGTCTTTTCAGGGGGAATTTCAGAGGTTCTCTCAAGCCATCCCTTGGTAGACATGCAAAGTCTTTAAAATATATGAGATTTAATTTGCCAAACGGAAAGGGTTGTACATTTTAGGATATACCAACAGTTTGTTTGGTGTGAATCAAAAAATATCCAATTTATGGATTTTGGATAAATGGAAAAAAGGTCTGTAGACCCTCTTTTTACTCAGCTGACATCTGGGTGTTTATACCCATTGTAAATTTTAAAAGTTGATTTCTAAAATAAAACTATCTTGCTTTTTAATTCCTTCTGTTAATTCAATGAACTATATTTCCGTCAATATTAGTACATAAATGCTTGGTTCGTTTGCAAATAAACTCACCTTAGTATTCCTGCATTGAAGACACGTGACTCCGCCATATAAGCTTACATATAGTCGAAAACTGATACAAAACAACCGTGCTCCAAGATAAAATAAGAACTACAATTCAAAAATAAATGTATTAAAAGAAATTTAGGCAGTTATAATTGTAAAACTCATTGAGCTAAGGCACCTTTTGGAATGGGAAGCCCGCCAGAGGCGAAAACAACTCGACGTAGCGCCATTTTGACCTCGTTCCATCCACGAGCAAGTTGACTCATCACGTTCATTTGAGTGAAAATATTCCAGAAATTACATTCAGCTGATAATACTGCACTCAGATCGCACTACACTTGACACTTTTCATTTGTTTTCCAGAGAAAAAAGATTTCCCGAGAGACTTGCTCCAAAGCTTTTTAAAAATCGCGCGAAATAGCGACAACAAAACATTGGGTCAGCAGTATTTCGACTAATTCCCATTCCTCCTCGGTTTAGCGCATYTTCGAGGACCACGTGCATGTAAACAAAATGGCGGACACACCAAAGAAACAAGACGACAGCATGAKCGAAGAAGCTCGTCCCGATTACGATGTTTTAGCATCTAGAGTAACCGAAATATCTAGACCTTTAGCTAGTCGAAAATTGACCAAGAAGTTATATAAAGTCGTGAAGAAAGGTGGGTTTGAAAAGTAGCATGTTTAGAATATCGAGGCGAATCTCGTTGTTTAACTAACATTTCGTTATGTTGTGTTATACATAGCTTCAAAGGCAAAGTCTATAAGGAGAGGTGTTAAAGAGGTYGTGAAAGCAGTGAGGATGGGTGAAAAGGGGTAAGAAGGCAGTTGTTTTTGGTGATCATGGTTTAACAAGTGCATGGCTGATTGGTGGTAATTTGTCTCCAGTAGAGATGTGCGCATGGAAGACTGCAGCCACCATTCTTATCAGGCAAAGTCTTTGAAACATGAGGCTTCCTTGCCAAATCAATAGGATAAAACTTTTTCGAATAATCCAACAGCTTGTTTTATGTGAATCGAAAGCACTAAGTTCATGCAATTTTGCAGTCAATAGTCTTCCTTGCATAGTTCTAAACCACTGTTAGCCATAGTCAATGTAGTGGTAGTCTGTGTGGGTCTACCAGATTAGTAGAACAGCTTTTGTCTGGCTAGAGCAATTGAGACATTAAAAAAGTTATTGATTGGTTGATTTTATTTATTTCAGCAACCCCACTGGTAAAATCCCTGCAACGTTTTTTTCTTTCTTTCTCTTTCATTTTTCTTCTTTTTTCTTTTCTTTGTTGTTGTTGTTTGTTTGTTTTTGTTTTTTTGTTTGTTTTTTTTTGCGTTATAGTAGACCTATTCCAATGTTAAAAAATACATACATTTATTCAATATTATTTTCAATTAAGGTTAGTTGTTATTGCTGGCGACGTGTCTCCAATTGATGTCATATCTCACATACCAATCATGTGTGAAGACCAAAAGCTACCATACATCTTTGTGCCTTCRAAAGTTGTAAGTTAGAAAATGTGTTAAGTAGTTTTCCTCATAAAATAATCCTTAAAGTTACAATTCTTGTGTTGCAAAATATCAACAGATTTTCCTGGATAAAATATTACAATGTGTGACCTTCACAAGCTTGAGAAACAAACATCTTGTGTTTTGACTAGCAACCTAAACCACAAAAAAATAGTATTCACCATTCACTTTGCAGAACAACCCATTTTTACCACACTTTATATTACAACACTTCATTATTGCAAAAATATTGTAAAAACTATTCTCCAGTTCAAGTTGCAATCAATGGGATAATGTACAAACCATAAAGTCATGAAAATATTATGAAAGACACTTTAATGAATAACCAAAAACATGTTTTGCTTAAATGTTGATAAATGGTTATTTTTATTATATACTTTTTGGGAAGTCTTGCATCCTAGGTTTTTATAATTATTTTTTACCTCTGCTTGTTTGATACATTGTAATAACCTACAAATTTTTTGCAAAAAAAGAAGAGCTACATGAAAAAGACAATGAAAAAGAAAAGTCATTTAAGAGTTTTACATTGGTCGAAATAGTGTAAAAACTGTTGCCTGTATTTCAAATGGTTGATGTGCCTTATCCATACATGTATGTACATCAAGACTTAGGGCATTTTTTCATGTATACGAACCTCCTTGCTGGTAAATAACATATATTTCACTAAGTTAT